TGTAGGCTAGATTTCAGAGGAAGAAACTGACAAAAACCACCTCTGAGTATTCCTTGCATAAGAAAACCCTATAAAATTCATGAGGTCATATTGACAAGCAATGTGAAGGCACATGCAAACAATAAGAGTATTTCCCTAATATGCATTTGAAAACATTTGTTCTGGTCAACATATGTTATATAATTTCAAGCTTCTAGGTTAAGCTGCCCAATTGGGCTCCCGTTGGCTTCAAAAAACACCTAGTATATCACTTAAAATTATTTCCAGTTCTGTTAACATAAAACTGCCTAGTTTCTCTCCACTTCTGCACCAATGAACTGTGGATGGAGACAAATTTGGCTAACAATTGGATTTGACAGTTTCAAAAATGGAGGATCAATAATTATTTGTTCTTCAACCCAAGACCACCAAAACAGTTCTAGGATGAAACCAGAAAAATATCACTACACTTGGTTTGTAGATCCTAAACTGAAAGTCTGATCCATAGCCTTCTCTGGCATTCTATGGAAAGACTGTGTATGACTAAATGCAGACTTCGTGGCTTCATCATCAGCCAGATTTCCACCTCTCCCCTCTCCCACTTTGTTTATCATTTAACCTGATGAATGCAAAAACATGCACACTATATGTTGTGACACTTTGGTTGGCCTGATAAAAGCACTGCCTTAGGGATTTTGCAATGTAAAAATCTCCCATCTCCATGAACCATCATTTGTAGAGAGAATCTCCCTCTATAGTTCCACTTCTGAATGTCTATCTTGAATATTAACATTCTGTTCCACCACTCTGTTCTTGAAAGATTTTGTTTCCTGGTATCTCTCTTTAGCTATATTTATGGATGCTGTGCACTTGCTACATGTCCTTCTGCAGTCTTAAGCATACTGGTTATAGGAATCTTACCAAACTCCTTAAAGGAACATATTTTATTCAGCTCCTTTGAAGTTCTTGACCCCTTAGCTAGGTCTGCAATCTTGGTGTCTCAATAATTGCCTTCATGTGCTTCTCATAATCCATCAGTCTTCAACTATTAATTCCTCCCTGTGCTTTAGTCACTATTGTTTGTCAATAACCTGATGCAGATCAGGATACAGTAACAAAGCAATTAGGTACACGGTGTCCTGGGCATGAAACAGAAAGAGGCTGAACAAGGAGGTCTGGTAAGTCTGGGTGTGTTTCTCATCTCTCCTCCTGTTGCCAAGAGTTTCATAAATTATGGTCATGGAAAAGGCATTATTAATGAGGTCAAAATGTTTTCCTCCCCCAGTAACCCAAACAGGTTTGCATCCTTGTAACCCATGCCATGCTGTGATATTCACGTATCAAGACCTTACCTTAGCCCATGTCCTCTTTGGCATGTGCAAGTCAAGGAAGCAACAATATTTCAGCAACAATCTGCCAAGGGCTACTGAAACATCTTTTTACAAAATAGGCAATTCAGAAATCAACTTACCCAGACTTAGAAGAGACACCTTTTTCCAGAGCTTCAGTGTTCGCCTGTGTGATCCTCCTATGTATTAAAGAGCATGTGTGTGCAAATTTCAATTTGCCAAGGATGGTGCCCGCCCAGACGCCTGATCAAATATTGTGCTGGAAGGCCATGGGTTTTGCTGAGATTTTTTTTGGAGTGACCTCCAAGCAGTAGGCAGTTTGCAAACTAGAGTGAAGAGACCTTAAAGCTGCTTGGCGTTATAAATAACTAGAGATTTCTCTCTCTCTCTCTCTCTCTCTCCTTGCAGAGGGCTTGGCAGTTTTTTCAGACTCTTTCTGTTTAACAAGTTAGTGGAATCCTGGTTGTTGTTTTTAACAGACTACTGCTAAAGCTGCCTGCATTTCCCATCAGGAAGCAGCAATGAAATTGGAAAGAAATCTAGAGTATGGAATTCAGGCTGAAACGCTGAAAATTATTGTGTAGATATGAAGGATCTTTATACCTCTACAGAGAGAGAAGTGATGAAATCTGCAGGTGCAAAAGAATTTGTCAAATTTTCAGCAGAATATACTATTTGTGATAACATTCCTTTAGAAAATGCCTGTTGCCATAGGTAGCAATGCCCAATGATCCATTAGTTACATGCAATCTCACTCGTATTGGTATTGCAGACCCTAAACTATTCCTGCTCTTTTGGATTCATGGTACCTCATTGCCATGCTTTCCCCTTATCCTGATTATAACTATGCTAGTGTCCATCCAGATGCTCCATAGTAAATCTTCATAGAAAATAAATAATTCTTCTGACCAGCAAAAGTAATAATTCTTTGTCTACAGACCCCCTCCTCCATAGAAGCAAATCATCAATATCAGCACTGTTTTATCTCCCTGAAGAGCACACACTAAGAACCAAATCATAACTATATTACAGTGCCAACTTGATTTTCCATCCCACAAGAGGTGGGATACCGGTCATTCTGTGAAAGGCTCATGTTGGACACTCTCCACAGTCATACATGCCACCTGTGCCAACAATGCATTCCTGCCACTTCCACTGTCAAAGCTGGATAATCTCTATTTAGTGGCTGGGCAGAAATCAAATCTGAACAACACACTAACCAGTATGAAATGTTTCAGTGCTCCTCCATGTTGTTTGCTTTTTCTTCCTCTCACCCTTCAGAATTAAATAAATAAATATTAGGATAAAATTAGAATGATAAAACTAATAGACAATTAGAGTTCATAAACAAGTGTGGCATTGTTACCCTTCCCTAGTTGCTTGCCTCATGCTCACTAAAAGAAGAAAAGAAAAAAAGTCCCCTACCTGGTGATATAACTGTTATTTAGTATTCATATCCTGATGTTCAAGGACATGCAGACGATCTCAGATAATCTCCCATTATGGATTCCTAGAGTGTTTCATTGTCAGTTCTGAATCTTTCAGGTTTCTCTTGTTATCTAGGGTCCAAAACACACTATAGAAATAATCCAGTATGAGACCGCTTTAACTGCCCTGGCTCAGTGCTAGGGTATTCTGGGCATTGTAGTTTATTGTGGCACCAGAGCTCTCTGACAGTAAAACCTAAATGTCTCACAAAACTACAGTTCCCAGAATTCCCTTGCATTGAGAGAGGGCAGTTAAAGTGATCTCAAACTGATTATTTCTGCTGTGTGTTTTGGACCTAAATCTCCTCACCACAGTAACTCAATCTCTTGTACATATACACCTCCCCAGAGCCCCTTTCACCTAATTTATTTTGACCATACTGAAATAAATGTCCATGTCACAGTTTCTTAGGAAGTATATGTTTCTGGGGGTTCCTGAAGGAAAAAGATAGTTTCTCTGAAGTATGAAACATCTTTCATTTATGAACTACCTGTTACTTTACATTAGAGACAGATATGAAGCTGAAACGAAAAGAGAACAATAATTCATCACATTTGGCACGCTTGGTGTGATGGAGCTGGAACATCTTTGTGGTCTCCATACTAGGAGTGTCAAGAGCCAGAATTTTTGCTTATTGTATGTTCCTCTGATGAACCAAATGCATATGGATTTTAATCTGCAATTTAAACTATAGCTGATTAAATGCACTAATTAATTGCATTTGTTCTCTAAACTTTCCTGATTGGAAGGAAGTTTAATAGCAGACTTTGACACTACTAGTCCTTTGGAAGATTAAGAAGCCTTGTATTGCTGTTTGTTTATCTACAAATATAGCCAGCTAATACAGAAAGGGGAGGGTTTTGGAAAGATGGGACTGACCATCAGGTTCCCCAAAGCAACAGTATGCCCTTGCAGATGGCCGAGGCCAACTAGCTGCATAAGCAGATCTTTTATCTTTTTGCTAGCTACATTTCAAGCTACCTTAATTCAGCCTCCATTCTGGCAGATAGATGTGTGACCTGTAATTCTTAGCTGTAAGCGTATCAACCCCACCATCAGTGTCCATTCAGCAAGCATCTCTAGCTAGCAACCCACACAAAAGCCCAGAGAAATTGTCCTCTTTTCACTTGAAACACAATAGCATCCCCACAATAATAGATCGAAGCTTGTTGCACAGTTAGTAACATTCAAATACATCAGCATCCAAGATGCATGTTTAACTTACCTTGTACTAACAAGGACAGTAAGAAAGAAAACAACTATGCTATGCTTTATAGCACTGAGGTTTTGTGAGCTGAATGATGAGTCTCCTCACTACTGATTTTTAAAACAGCTCAGATCCCATTCACACCCCATAATAAGAGCTGGTACAGTAAACTCTCTCTCTTCTTTTTTTAAAGAAAGAAAGCAGTAGAAAAGACACTTGCATTATGTTCTATTCATAGCTTGCTGTACAACACAGGTTGAGTGATCTCTCTTTGTACTAAATGTTCCTTATCTGTGATGATCTGTGACAGCCAGCCTTTCAAAATGTGAGGAAAGCCTCCCAACAGACTTGTGAATTTCAGTCCCACCACCAGCCGCACATACAGCTCTCAAGTCAAGTTTTGTTGTACCTTTGGATTGGTTCTGGCTGATGAATTTGCCTCTCTGGTCAGGTTCCTTCTGGATGCTGTGTATTCTCTTCTCTTGATAATCCCTGGCAGACTAGACATTAAATTTTCAGGGGCTTATTGCTTTTCTGGACAACTTCCCTTGCAGAACATAAAAGTACAAAAGCACACACAAACAAAGATCTTCTTTGATCTTCTTTGTATCCTACAGAGGTGGGATTGACCAACATCAACTCAACCATTATTTGTTTTGTCTTTGTTAAGGAAGCTCAAAGAATTCTTTCTTTTATTGTTAAGGAACTATCTCTCTGTGGGTTATTTAATTTAATCCATGATTAAGTGTCCCAGGAATTGTTTTCATGCTCCTGCAAACTGTGTGTTGTGTTCCATCTCAACTTTCTGATTTGTTGTTGTTGCTGCTGTTGTGGCTTCGAGGTATTCTGACCTACAGTAACCCTAAGGTGAATCTATCACAAGCTTTTCTTGGCAAGATTGCTGGTGTGTGTGTGTGTCTTTGCCTTCATCTGAGGCTGAGAGTATGACTTGCCTAAAGTCACCCAATGGGTTTCCATGGCCAAGCAGGGATTCAAACCCTTGTCTCCCAGAGCTATAATCCAGCACTCAAACCACTACACCACACAGCCCTTCTGCCATTAACAGCAATAAAGTCTATTACATTAATTTGTGTAAACATACCCCTAAATTTCAGCATTCAGAAAATACTAACCTAGTGTCTTGGGATGGGGTTGATGCACAGAATTCTTGAAGGCCTCTCATACATGTTTGCATATGTCTGTGCCTTCAGGTTGTGGAAAGGCACTAGATTCCATCTAATATTGGAAGTTAAGTAGGGTCAACCCTGTTTAGTACTTGGATAGGAGACCATCAAAGACTACCAGGTGCTGTAGGCTATGTTTCAGAGGAAGGAACAGGCAAAACCACCTCTTAGTATTCCTTACCTTAGAAAACCCTATGAAATTCATGGGGTCACCATAAATCAACAGGCAACTTGAAGGCACATACACACCCTCTCATGCACAGAGTCATTATAAATCAAAGCCAACTTGATGGTAAATAACAAGTGCCTTGGAAGTAGTTTTCCCTCACCTCCAGCAAGCTAAATACAAAGGATTATATGGGCCGATGCAGATGGCCCATTTGGGCAGCTCTGGGCCACCCCTGGGAGTGGTGGATCGGAGCCACGGCAATCACATGCCGCAGCCCCAATCCTCCTTTTTGCTGCATGCAAATACCATTGGTATTTGTATCCTTGTTCTTTCCATTCTTCTGGAGATTTCATTTTAAAATTCCCTTTGTCTCCCTCCTTCAATAAATCTTTGTATGTTGCCCACCTTCCTTTTATTATTTCTTCTCTCTGATAGAAAGCTTCATTAATAGAGGCCCACAATGGGATTCTCCTATTTATGTGAGCTTTGCATTTTTGCGCTATCCAAAAGAGTGGTTTCCTCATGTTATGGTTAAAAAAAAAAATCCTTGTTGACACTTTGTTATAAAACAAATAAGCATGGCAATCAAAGCATTGTCCACCCCTTCTAGCTGCAAAAGCCTTCTGTTTTTTAAAACTGATCCAGTCTTTCAGCCACTGTAGGCATGGCACATAATAGTAGATTTTTAAACATGGAAGATCAAGTCCCCCTATCTCTAGTTCATCCTGCAGCAGTTTGAATCTAATCCTGGCTTTCCCCCCCAGCCCATATAAATATTTGCAAATCTTTTTGCCAATCTAAAAAGGACTTGTCATTAATCACAATAGGTATGGTCTGAAATAAAAACAATAATTTAGGCAGCACGTTCATTTTAATTGCTGCAATCCTTCCCAAAGGGGATATATTCGTCTTAGCCCATCTATGCATATCTTCCTTGATTCCACACCATGCTTTTCCGGCGTATAAGACGACCTGCGTATAAGACGACCCCCCCATTTTTCCCAGTCAAAATATAGAGTTTTAGCACCTCTATCCCCATTATCCTTATATCCGGCGTATAAGACGACCCCCCACTTTAGCCACAGATTTTGCAGGTAAAAAAGTAGTCTTATACGCAGGAAAATGAGGTATTTTTAAAGAGCTCTGAATTTTCAGATGTAATTATGATACCTAAGTATTTAATCTTTTTTCTAGTTTAAAAATTTCTTCTAGTTTCTCTTGCTCTTTTTTGACAGATTTATTGTGAGAATTTTAGTTTTATCCTTGTTAATCTGAAATCCAAATTGACCATACCTGTTCATATAGTTTATACAATAATACATTGATGCCTTCTAGTGGGTCTACCAAATATATCACTACATCATCAGCATACATTTTGAGTTTATACTCGTACTGTTTAAATTTCACTCCGCTGATTGCTTTATTCTCTCTAATACTTATGTTTAAAATTTCTAGAGTTGTAGTAAATAGCAAAGGCAACAATGGGTACCCTTGCCTTGTTCCCCTCCTAACTAAGAAATTGTTCACTTTTTTCTCTATTCATAATCAATTTCACTGTACATTGCCTCTATCAAGTTTATAAAAATATCCCCCATCAGCATTTTCCTCAGAGTCTTTATCATAGTCAAATGCTTTTTCAGCATTTAAAAACATTAAGGTGGATTTTTAAATCCCTTTTTTTCTCATAATATTCTATGGTGTCTATCAGGTTTCTTATATTATTTCTGAGCTGTCTCTTTGGTAGGAATCCTGACTGATCTTCATTTACCAAATTTTGTAAAATTCTTTTAAGTCTCTCTACTGAAATTATGGCAAAGATTTTATAGTCATTATTTAGCAGTGAGATCGGCATAATTTTTGTAAGCTCCAACACCTCCTTATCCTCTTTGGGAATCAGCACAATATTAGCTGATTTCCATGACTCAGGCATACCTCTTTGTGGTATTCTATTCATAATTTCTGTTAATGGTTTTATCAGTTTTTCCTGTAAGGTTTCATAATATATTGCCCCTAGTCCATCTGGCCCTAGTGCTTTGGAAATTTTAATTTTTTTAATTGCCTCTATCTCCTCACTTATCATTATTGGTTTATAAAGATCTTTTCTTTGCTCTTCATTAATCTTTGCTATATTCTGTTTACCTAAAAACTTTTGTATTTTCTCTTGAGATACCTGCTCTTCAAAATACCTATAAAATCTGCAAAATACCTATAAAAAACATTCTTTCATCTGCTTCTGGCTGGATAAGATCTTATCTCTTTTTTTTAATAGTCAATACAATTACTTTCTCTTTCTCCTTCCTTACTTTCCATGCCAGCCATTTGCCGGGCTTATTTGCATTTTCAAAATATTTCTGTTTAATATATCTAATTTTCTTTTCTTGTTCTTCTACTAACAGCAATGATTTTTCTCTTACTTTTTTGTCCTCTTGTAAGATTGTTTCAGAAAGAAAGTTCTCATCACTCCTTGCTTGTGTCCCATACTATTTCTGAACTGACCTCACCATTTATATTTTCTTCAAAAAAATTTAAGTGTTTTTTGCTTTTTCCAAAACACTTTCATCTTTTAATAGAGTTTTGTCTAATCTCTAGTTCATTTCATTTCTTTTCTTTTTTAGTGTCAAAAGAATCAGATTGTGGTTAGACAATATTTTGGCATAGTTTCAACTGCTTCTACTGCTGTACTAATTATTGAGGAGGTCAGAAGCATATCGTTCCTCAACCAGGAGTTGTGTCTGTTTGAAAAAAAAAGTAAATTCCCTAATCAGTCCATATTTAATCCTTCAAATATCTTCTAATGTCAGGGAGGCTTTTAAGTAAAAAAAAAATCTTGGTAATTTCCCTTCTTTTAAATATATTTTATTTTCTGTCTTTCTATCTGTTTGTGGGTTAATCACCACATTCCAGTCCCCCATCATTAGTATCCTATAATACAAGTAATCCATCATTTGCTTTTTTAATTTTTTTAAAAAAGCCTTTATTTTCCAAAGTTGCATGTACCCCTACCATTAGAAACTTTTAGTCTTGTATTATAACCTCTATTCCTATAAAGATGCCATGCCTTGCCTGGAGAAGGATCTGGAGGATGAGCCAGAACCTCCTCTGGGACCTGAGCCTGCCATTGTGGAGCCTCAGCCCAGTCCTAGTTCTGCTTTGCCAGCTCCAGCAGAGCCTTCAGCAGAGCCTGTGGTCTCTCAGGATGTTCTGCAGCTAATCCTTCCGGCAGCAGAACCTTCAGACATGAAAGAGGATCAAGGGACAATACCTACCTTCAGTCAGTGTTGAGCAGAAAGGGAGGGCCTTTGCCATTGTAGGAGACTTTATGAAAAACACCAGAGCAATCAGCCTCAGATGAGCTCCTGCAACTTGGTAATTTAAGCAGATGCAAAAGGTCTGCCTTGGTGCCAGAGATTATCTGAACTTCCTAACAAAAGTCTCTGTCTCTCCTTGTTCCTTGGCCTGAAACCTTGACTCTGTGACTGCTGACTTATCTTGAACTTCTGGAACCCTTGACCTTTGGACTGCTTGATCATTCTCTGGCTGGACCTTGGATAGGTAATACAGACCTTTGCTTTCTTGCTTTGTATAAGCAAAAGACTTTTGTTACCTTCAACCCTCACAAGAAGCTGTTATCAGCACTCTTGGTAGTTTTCCTGGACAAAAATGTCCATTTGGGTCCACAAGCAACTGTTTCAATTAAAACCTATCATTTACATATATCACCACCCCTTTTTTCCTCTTTTTTGAGGTGGCAATATATTTTTTGCCAAATTCAGCATTTTTTAAGTCTTACATCATCTTTTTTAATATGAGTTTTTTGAAGACAGATTATGTTGAGTCTCTGCTTACCTAAATAATGAAAAAAATTACTTCTTTTCAGTGGTGTATTTAAACCTTTAATATTCCATGATAGGATGTTTGTTCTTCTCTGAGTTATCATAGTCTTCTTCTATGTCGTCTCCTCCTGTAGATGCAGCCACATCCACATTCAATTCACCATCTTCTTCTGTTTCTCTTTCTTCATTTCTGATGCCCTCTCTATCTTATCTTGAGTAATTATCTCTTTCTTCCCACCTCTCTTCTTTATTGAATTCTTCTTCATTATTTTGTAAGAAAGCTCTTGATTTTTGAACTGAGTTTATATGATATCTTTTTTTTGTTTAAATTTGAAAGACAGTCTCTTTGGTGTTTCCTACTTATAAAAAATTCCGTTATTACACAAGATCTTGATCAGGAATACATAGTCTTTCCTTTTCTTTAGTACTTTCCCTGAGATATATTTAAACAATAGGATTTCAGTATCCTCAATGTTCAACCTCATGTGAAAGTGCTGCTGTAGTATAGCTTCTTTCATTTGTGTCCTGACAAAATAGATCACTATATCTCTGGGTAATCTCTTCTGTTTTGCCATCCAGCAGTTGTCTATTTTGAGAATAAAATTTTCACTATCCAGACCCTTGTCTATTTCGAGAACAAAATTTTCACTATCCAGCCCCATAAGATCAGCTGATACCAGTATTACTCTTTTATAAAGATCTTCCTCTTTTTGCTCCAGCAAACCTCTTATGTTAAGGCATCTTTTTCTAAATCTTTGTTCTAGTTTTGTTCTATCTTCTAGTTCTTCTACATGATCTTTTATTATTTTTTTCATGTTTTCCTCCATTTTTTGTTTTCTTCCTCCAGATATGTTACTCTTTCTC